CAGACTGCGTTGAACTGTGAACGAACAAGATTTGCTATTACTTTTAATAGAAACGCTATCAGACAATTAGGAATGCTATGACCTTTGGACCGATGTAGAGACCCACACAGGCACAGCTGCCGCACACAGCTGAACCGAATCTTCTCTCATCAACGCCGTTTCCAGATGCCAGACCAAAGCGTGTGAGAGAGAACACTGTGTTACAAGTCAGAGCAGTGTGTTCCCCTCCATAAATGATTCAATGGGCTAGATATGTTAGTTGGTCTTAGCAACAATAAAAAATCTGAAACATCAGGCCCCGCATTATCTCTGAAACGGTTTCATTCACAAGCAGTCAACACTGCCACAATGTGCTGTGGGTGATGCCACGAGACAAACAAACAAAGCACACAAAACTAAAAATGGAAACAGAGTGGCTCATGTGTCACTTCTTCTTGGTCTAAAAATTAGATTAAGTGTAATGATAGCAGATGTTTTCTTATTATCCTTTATAGTCTGTAAAGCCTCAGCCACACAGACCTAGAGAGCAGTCAGCAACCCAATGGGAACCCCTGGTCAGTAGGGAAAAAATGTGTTTCCCTCAACTGGTTGGATTCTGTAGGCTGCTGCTGTCACTGGCTGAAATTCATTGCACTTAGGCTAAGGCACTAAAAATATACTTTGAATTTCTCTGGTTGCTAGAACCAGTGGTCAGCTGTAATTTACATAGAAAGTATGTTAAATAGCCAACAAGTGCTAGAAGAAGTGGACCAGAAGTCGTGCCTTACTGCTGAAACAAACACATTTAATCTGAAGGGGAATGCTCTCTGCGCTTCACACTATTAACAGTTTCACTGCCGCTACCAAAGAGTTGGCAAGTGCTTGTAGACAAGTCGCAAGCTACAAGTCACTGCGGCAGTCTGCTAGCGGCCAAATTGATCGTAATAAGGTTTTCGGGGTAGCACCATACACTTCTTTGAGACCAACTTCACCTACCAACTGCCGGCAACCTCTTGCGAAGCAGTTGGAGAATACACGTTTTTGCCTGGAGACTGAAGGTTGCCAGCAGGTTGCTATCCAGTGTCTAGGCCTGTGTGAATGACACCTAAGGACCACCTCTCTCAAGCACTTTGTTACTTTTTTTTAAATTAAAAAAGATGCATTAGAATTAAAATTTCCACTTTAGGCTGCATTGTGTTGAGATTATTGCCTGCCATGGTCTTAAAGTTCCCATATTTGAACAAAAGGGTTCTAGGGACTTTTAACACCATACAGATGAGTGTGGTGAGTTCATGCTTAAAATGTGCATTGGCATCCACACGACAGTTTAACTTTCCCCTGTGCTTATAAAGGTTTAAGTCAGCTATAGAGAACAAAACCATTTTTAGCATCAGGCAGTTATTTCTACTTTAGAATTTGCCATTTTCACATAAGAGTCTACCGCTACCGATCGCTACAGTAGTCAGCCGCAATCGGCCACCAGAGGAAATCGAACTATTTACATATTTTCAATTTGTTCGTGTGGGTTGCAGCTGGTTTCTACACATATACGCGAGGTACTCATGTATCCTCCCCATATTCTTTATTTGTTCTGTGCCTGTATCTGATCTGTACCTGATATATGCAGCGTAACAATGAAACTAGCGTTCCAACATACTGAATTTCTTCTCTTCTCTCAGGAAAACACTGCAGTTTAAGTGAGGAGGGTCATCCCTCAGTGCATCAGGCATCATTTGCATGCTGAAGTACAGTGTATGAGAAGAAGTGTGATTGCTGCTGTTTTAAAGTAGTAGTCCTCATAGGGCAGAATGGGCTCATCCTGGTTGGCTTAGCATTTAAATTTAGATATTCAGGGTTAAGTGACTCCAGCGCCCCGTTAGTGTGTGAATGCCGTGTGAAATGGAACAGTTGATCCTTTAGAGGAACCAAGCTCAGGGTTACTGTGCTGAGCTTTAAAGTCTGCTTGGTGCAAGACCCGTCCGTAACATAAAGCGCTTTAATTTTAAGTGCTGTTAAAAATATGTTTAACCCTAATTTTAACACCAACTCTGACCTTCCACCTGCTCACTGTAGCCTTCAACCAAGTCATGAGTCATGAGGAAGTGGTGACAGGACAAAGCTATGCAGCTATGTGAGTACGTTCTCATCACATCCATCCACTGCCTTCTGCAATAAGCAGGCCACAAATGCTTTGAAACCCTCTCCACCTTGGTGGGATAGAATTTTTTAAATACAGCGCCTTGATTTGGACGTGACATATCATCTCATTCTGCTGCAAAGCTGTTGACAGGCACTTAAAACTGTGTAAGTATCTCCGATAAGCCTGAGCCAAAACATAAGGTCAGAGTCTGTGTTTATGCGTGACAGGGGAGCTTGATACAGACGGGGACACCCAGACGGGGCTGTCCAGGATGAATCTGAGCACTAACACATGCAGGAGAGCAGTGTGTGAGAGACACACACAATGCCTGCCAACTTGCAGATGAGCGCTAATGACTGAGGATTTGCCTTGGCTGAGATAAGAAAGGATCTTACGGAAAGCAGATGGGCAAAACAGAAAGGAAAGTGAGGGGAGATGCCGAGGGACAGTGAGAGAGAAAACAAAGAAATGAAGACGAGCGTGAGATTAAAGTGGAAACGAAAAGTTGAGGTGAAAACTATGAGGAGAATTATGTCTGCGTTAAGAACCCAGAAGATTTGAATGAATAAAACTCACAACTCTGGAGGGAACTGAGGAATAAAGGCACAGACGAGGTGAGAAAAATAGAAAAAGACCGGGGAATACACAGCGATAAAGACATGTGAGTGACTGCATGTTTGTTGGAAAACACTAAAATAGAGCTACAGAATTTTATTGTGTGAAATAGATTGTGATGGTTGTGTTTATTGGGTATTTTCAACCAATATTTAGTGCTTTAAACAGATTTAAAATGACCTTAATGTGACTTAAACTTGTGTCGGCTGTAATGGCTCTCTTCCACAGTGGCCTTTCTATTCTTCTCCCCTCACCCTGCCCGTCCCTGAGCCTGGCTCTGTCAGAGGTTTCTTCCTGTTAAAAATGAGTTTTTCCTCCCTATTGTTGCCAAGTTCTTGCTCATAGGGGGGTCGTCTGAATATTTCAGTTTCACTGTATTACTATAGTGTCCTCACCGTATTATCTAAAGCAACTTGAGGTCACTGTTGTTGTGATTTGGGGGCTGTATACATAAAGCTGAATTGAACTGAATCCATCCAAAGGAACTTGTTAGAGTACTATAAGTGCAGTTATTATTGATGTGTCCCCCTGCAACAACCCACACCGGTGAAAGAAGGAGATGACTTGAAAGAAATATTATAACATTAGTCAGGTGGGAATGCTTCTGTCAGGAGTGGTTCTCTTTTTATTTCTGCAATGGGTATTTTCTACTCCCAAAATATGAATATAAATTAAAAGTTCATATAAGCCTCAAATCTTTTGGGGTAAATGTAATTATCCCTGCCACTGTCAAACACACATATTCACACATGCACAGAGAGCTTCTCTGGTTCTGTGTATGCAGGCAGGTTAAGAAATATGGGTGTGATGGCTTCTATAAAAGCTTGGGTATCTTTGAAATCATCCCAAAATTAAGATGCATGCAATATATTTTTAATATGAACTTTTTCAAAATGAGGAAAAATCTGAAGTGGAAAGGTTGATAAATCAAAATACTAAATAAGATAATTGATTCGTCATCGATGTAAACAGGCAATGATGTTAAGGCCTAAAGACCAGTTGATGACAGCCTGTCAACCATTGGTTGCTAGGGAAAAATGACTATTCTTCAACCACCGCTCAAACCTAAAGTGACTGTGGCAATCCATTACTTTGAGACCAAAACAATCGCAAAGAGGTATGTGGCGTAGTGCTTTCTGATTTCACCCAGTGGTTGCTGGACGTTGCCGGCAGTTGCTGTGAAACTGACAGCTAAAACCCCAGTGAACAGGTCTAGAGACTGGTTGGCGAGACCCCGCAACCTCCGAGTATTCCATAAATGAAACACTGATGAGTATTGTTTGCTGCTGCTAGGTGAAATTTGTTGCAAAGGTGTGTACAGTGCTGCACTTTGAGCCTCCTTGTGACTGCTGTGGTTGCTAGCAGACTGCCACAGTCACTCATAGTTTACATGAAAGACAATGCCTTGTCTATAAGAACTCGCCAACTAAGTGGTTATGAAAGTGTGAAAATTTGACACAAATCAGAAGTGCAGATTGTTTGCCTTCAAAAGAAAGAGAATTTTCAAAATAAAAGACCCTCTGATAATCTGCTTCGGATGTCTCTCACCTGTATTCCTGATGTAAAGAGTTCTCAGATAAGTTTTGCAAATGAAGTAATGCAAAAAAACCCAAACAAAACAAAAGATTTTTTTTAAAGGAGCAATTTTATGCTGTTAAAAGGCTGCTTTACTCCTTTGTTCCTTGCCCCACAGTTTCTGTATGTGTGCAGCTACTATGGATCCTTTATATTGAAAGACAATGAATTGTACTTTTGCCACAGCGTATATCTGTAGCTCAGCGTGCTGGATTTCAGAAAGGACAACCTTTACATCATGCCGTAATCACCTTGAACTTACAAGTGAAACTGACACAAACAACATCAATAAGTGTCTGTGAGCTCCACCTCAGTCACTGCAAGCTAATCACAGTCCCCCAACACTGTTTGTGAAGCCCGCTGAGGAAGGCAATTAAGCCGGCTTCAAAACAGCAATGGCTAGGTTTTAGTTCGGCTAAGGCTGTCACTGAGTAAAATTAATGAGCTTGTTGCTGTTTATGTTGTCGGAGAAGAAGCTTTTTTCTAAGGTAATGGTGAAACCTAACAAACTACTTTTTTCAGTAGATAATCTTGTAATGTAAGAGGTCGCCTTAAATTGCTCTAAAGAAATGACAGCAATGAAAGATCCCAGCTATCACTTAAATATGCTGGAAAAACAGTGCGGCAACAATGTAGAAAAGAAAATGCACAATCACAATTGGCTGTGTATCACTGTGCCGTAGCTTCTCACCAGGAATTTGCGCTTCTGCTTCCACTGTGCGCCCTGAGCATTGGTGTGACGATGGGCTTCCGTCACCAAGCGGATCAGCTCCCACTCGGCCCCCGTGGGCTCCGGACGGGTCTGGAGGGATTTTACCATCTCCTCCTTCTTACGCCGCTCCCTGTTCTCCTCAATCAGGCGCCGTTTAGCCACCCGTTTTGAGTCATCCAGTACCACTGGAGGGAAAAGGAGGTGGGAAGAGGAGGAGGAAGAAATTAGAAAAAAAAGGCAGGCACACTGCTTGTGTATCACCTGAAATTTGTTTGCATATATATATATAAAGTTGCAGCTCCAGCTGTGAAATATTAGGTCCCCGTGCTGTTTAGTCTTACTACCTCTTGAATGTTTATTAAAAAATAAACAAGTGACATCAATTCATTTTCGTTTTATATTTTTGTGCGTGCACTCACAGTCCATGGCCATGCCCACAGCAATGCACTTCTTGAAGCGGCACAGCTGGCACTGGTTGCGGGTGATCTTGTCGATGATGCAGCAACCATCGTACTTACAGGAGTAGGCCGGGTGGAGGTTCTTCTGAATGGTCCTACGAAAAAAACCCTGGAGGTAGACAGAGCAGGCAGACGTGGATGTGACACAGATGGAGAAATACGAGCACAGTAAAAGCCCTGAAAACATTTTGCTTCCAGCCGCAGCCGCTGCTGGCGGGAAGGGGGACATTTTAATTACCGCTGCTGTGTCTTTACTGTGAAATTTATGTGTTTAATGCAAAATTTGATTAAACGTATTGTCAGCCCCACTTGCTACTAAATCTGAGGCAATTTCTGTGAAAGCTACGCGGCGGCCCAACGATCTACGCACAAGACAAACAAACTGTAGATGGAAATGTGAAAGGAGATTTAATATTATGCTTGTATTATTAGATCTAAAGCATTCTTTTGACAGGCGTAGACACTTCTACATATTGAAGGGAAGTGAGCATGAAATATTTACCATAAATCAGATTTATTTGAAAAAAACAAAAGGAAAAAAAGTCTTTCCCCCCCAATGCTGCCCAATAACTGAGACATCAAATGCATCATTGCCAGCAACGCTCAATCCCTTCAGTGACGCCTAAATATAAAATGATAAACAAACACATGAGCAAAAGGAAGCAAAGCAGTCTGATCACACAGCACACTGACAGCGAGGAAGACAAATGACACACGGCTCAGAGATGAAGTGACAGCAATATGTGTATGACCTCGGTGCATGGCTGTTCACTATAAAGAGTGTGCGCGTGCACGGCTGTGAGCCGTGTGTCTTGGCACTTGACCTCGAAGGCATTAAATTAAGTTTTCCTGCAGCCATTATGCGGGTTATGAACCTGCTGTGGGCTTCTCTGGGTTTGTGTGTGTACCTTGCAGCCCTCGCAGGTAATGCAGCGGTAGTGGTAACCCGTGGCCTTGTCGCCACACACCACACATGGCTCATCCTTTTCGAGGTAGCTGGGAATGTACCCTGAAAGAGAAAGAACCAATGAAAAGACAGATCGTGTGTTTCTCACCGATGCTGTGGGCGAGCATCTATAAAACAATTACATCCTACCACGGCAGAAGTACTTCATCATCGTCGTCCTTACCTTTTTGTGCTACTGTACATCACTGTGAATTCAAACCTCTGAATAAGAAAGTAAAAGCACACTTGGAGACCTTGGAAGGAACACAACAGTAGTGTTTGAGTTTTTCACTGTGATGCCTGAATAAAAAAATCGGCTGTTTCTTCACATCATTTAACCTGCAGGGTAACGCAGTCAGTACCTTTCTAATAGGGACAAGTGCTAATAATTCAAATAGGGCCACTAGACTATACCCACACAGTTTCTGTGGTGAACAGTGCCGCTACGCAGCCTGTGGCACCTTTAAAGTGGTCAATGTGAGTTCACTTTCCAGCATCATATTTTTAGTTTTAGACTTTACTAGTGTACTTTTGCATGATTTACATAATAAAAAACTAAGTTACTTATGTTACTGTGACCTTTGAAGCCAAACGGTTTTAGCTCTCGTCTCTTTAAAGCTCCCCTGCTAGTAAACTGTAATGGTTTAACCTTTCTACAGCCATGCAGACGAGCACATCAGTGCACTGTGACACCGCTGTGTGGTTACAGAGGCAGCAGAGCTCACAATCAACCCCACTTACCCTCTGGTGCTACAGTAAATGTGGCCGGAGTTGAAATACTTCTTTTTACACTGGCATATGATAATGCTCTGAGGAGAGCATGTAAGAAGTGAACCCCCATTTGTAATTAGTCTTTAATTAGCAAACAGGATATTCAACAAGGTTTCCAAGTAACTAATAGGGTTAGACTGGGAGGAAGCTGTATTACATGAATTACTTTGGAAAGTCTGCAAACTTTGTTTTAAACTAAAACAAGAAAAAAGTACTATGCATATTTTCCTACTTCAGTCATCCCTTTAAGTTGTGTACTGACACAAAGCTACTCAAATTACTGTGGTCACACAATTAAACACACAAGAGCTTTACTGTTTGGTTTGATCCTAACTGAGCTGAGGTTCTCACAGCAGATACTACAGCGCCAGCTCATCTAAAGTGACAGTATTTGGATTGTTCTCTTTCTGTCCTATTTCACAGTCGTTCCTCTGCTTTAGACTCAGAAAAGGCACAGTTTGTTCTTTTTTCCATACTGCGAGACCAAAAAAGCAAGCAAGGAGACACAGGAAATAGCAGATTTGCAGACATTTCATGTGATATTTACAGTAGCTATGAAGTTGGGAGGGGCGGAGACGATGCACTACAAGTCGCAAAAAAATTCAGTGTGGGTGTTTTAAGTGCAGCCCCACACAAACGGGGCTGCCGACAAATCTCTGCCCTTTGCACATACACGCACTGTGTGTGAGGATCGGGGTGTTGAGATTGTGATCTATCACACAGTATCACCAAGGAAGCGTCTGATTGGTCCCAAATTCATTCTGCAGCACGACAAAGACCCCAATCATAAAGACAGAAGACTAAAGGATCGCGCAACAGATGGTTCGGTCCCCACAGAGTTTCAGATTACATTAGGAGACGGAAGCGAATCCACAGAAGAACTGTGGCAAGCTCTCGGTGATTCAAAGAAAAAAAAGCTGAAAAACCAGTGATGTTAAAGGCAAAGTACACAATAAGTATTGATTTAATGTAGTTTTACTTTTTCTATTGATTATATTTCTATTAAAAAAAAAGATATAGAAAATCTAATGAGGGATATCTTTGAAAGCCCGCTTTTCTTTATTTTTAGCGGTTAAAAATGGATCCAGTGATATACGCCTTTGTGTGTCTGTGTGCGTACACCAAGGCGTGGTGAGAGCAGTGACTGGCAGTGTCAGTTGGGCTCTGCCTTTTTGGCTCGGTTACAGATTTTAGAGGAGGAGGGGGAAAGCAAGAAGCGGATGGTGGGAAGAAGAGAAAAAAGACAAAAGAGAGAGAAGAGCACTTGCCAAAGGCACAAAAGTGACAGTTTTCCCAAACTGAGGAGCACTCGGCTTCCTTTCTTTCTGTCAAATTAAAAAAAAAAAAAAAAAGAGATAAGAAGAACTTATCTAAAAAGGGAAAAAGAAAGAAAAGTAGTAAAAGGGAGGTGAGCCAGAGAAATGACAAAAGGTCAGATGGGAGAATGCAGGAGGGGAAAGAGGTTTAAAAAGGAGTCAGAAGAACCAGAGAACCATCACATAAGATAAAATGTGAGCCCCGCTGTGTTGGCAGGGCAGGCAGCAGCAGGCGGATCCCCGAGCCGCTGCTGTGGCTGTGTTTGGAAGCCAAGCCCAAAATCAATACCGCTGCAGCTCTCTGGCTCTGGCTGCCGGCCCCTCCCAGACGGGCCACCAGCAAAACGCAGGAAAAGGAAGGAGATTTTTCAAGTGTGGCTGAGTCAAGATAAATATTTTGTCTCCGCAAGTTTCCCACCATAACACTTGCCATTTTTGTTTTATCAAAGTGTGTGTGCATGTGAGAGTATGTCTGTGTGTGTGAGTGAAATCGGGTGGGGAGGGGCGTTTGAATCCCTGAAGGAGTCTCGGGATTGTTTCTTAGAGGTCCTTACATGACAACATCCAAGCGAGGTGACATTTGAAACTGTAAACACTGATGACACCGGAGGACAATACTACACCGATAGCTGGAGTTGAATCAACAGCTATTACGCAAAGCTAAGTGCAGCTGTGTTTATTGTCCCTTCCCTGAATGCCACTTAAAATCCATTGCTGTAAATGGATTAAATGCTGTGTTTATGTACCGCTGAAAGGTCCCGAGAAGAATTGATCAAACTACCAATTATGGCAAACGTGGCAAAAATCGTTTTGGTCAATGCGCTTTTGTCTGGTGCTTTTTGTTTTAAACAGCCTTCTTTTAAGCGGTGGACGTCCTTGAACTTTTAATAAATGAATTAAGTTAAAATGAAACTAAAATAGCGGTGGGCACAGGGTTGCTCTGTCAGAGGAGGGTTTATTTTTGCCTGGGAACATAATCCTGCCGGGGCAAAAGCCAGTTTCTGGTTCCTTTACAGAAGATGTGAAAATGCAGACAAAGGGAGCGACAAGAAACTGAGGTGGCAGAAGGCTTGTGCACTTTGAGAGAACGGAAAATAGAGTAATGTGCAAAGGAAAAAAGAGAATCAGTGCATCCAAAATCCTTGCATTCGCTCCTGCTTATCCTTGTCAGGGTCGCGGGGGGCACTTGAGCCTATCCCAGCTGTCTTAGGGTAAGAGGCAGGGTACACCCTGGATAAGTTGCCAGTCTGTCGCAGGGCCAACACACAGACAGAGACAAACAATTGCACTCACATTCACTCCCCTATTCACACCTATGGGCAATTTAGTGCTTCCAATTAACCTATCCCCACTAACTGCATGTCTCTGGATTGTGGGAGGAAGCCGGAGCACCCGGAGAGAACCCACGCAAACACAGGGAGAACATGCAAACTCCACATAGAAAGACACCGGCCTGATGGTGGAATTGAACTCAGGCAACAGTGCTGACATCCATGCCACTGTGCTTGCCCTGCATCCAAAATCGAAAACCTAAAATGTTTGATGCACATATTACCAGTAATGCCAGTAATCCAAAACCTCAGTCTTCAGTCTGCAGTCAAAGCTCGTACAAGTTTTTGCTTTAAAGGATGCAACAGTTTGTAACATCATCACAGCCCTGTAAGCACTTATCCTGGCATTTTGGGTGCTCTGGACTTCTTGCAATCTTCTACCGATTGATTAAAAACAAAGAAACTTTTTCAAGCTGTTTCAGCTTTTCCTTGGTGTAAGTTCTGAGCTCCTGCACATATAACTGACTTGATTGTACACTTCTGTGTCCAGCCTGGAGAACTGGAAGGGGCACGACAAGCTGAAATTACACCAAATGTGCCATATGGATAATAAGGACATGAATGGCTCATTAGCGATTCATGCAAAGCTACTCTTGTAAAGTAGCTCTACTGTAAATCTACTATCTATCAAGATGATTTGGTTACCTAGGCTTAGATTATTGGCTTCATTATTAACCTATTATAATCGTCTATATTTATGCTAGTCGCCTATTAATGCACTGTATGGACACAACACAATGATATTATGGTTGTTAAGGTATCCATTCACTTGCTGAGGGTTGGTCCACTCTCAGAGGAAAATTCTGACAGTGTATATAATTGAATCTCAGACAACCATGCCCCTAAGACAGACATACTGTCATACTTTCCCAGTTCAAATGAACCATGGCAGGTAAAGCATGGCACAAGCAGTCATGCAGGGAGGAAGCCTGCTGGGAGGGGAAACATTTGGACTCAGCCTTGGGAGATATATTTTATTAAATCAGCTATCCTGTAGACTTGGATTTTTATGTTGGTGTTCCTCCCACTCTATCGCTCCCAATCTCTCACCTCCCTTCCTCACTCGCTTCTTCCAGCTCAGGGGATTTGGAGCTGTCACTCTGACAATGAACTGCATCCAACATGAAAACAGACAAAGCAGAAGGCTTTCGTTTATTGATGACAGGTGCCAAGATGTTTTACTTCTTCTCTTTGCTCTTGACAAATTGAAAGTGTAATGTACACGCGGCAGGAATCAATCTTGTGCTTAACTTCTTTGCAGTCACTCACTCAGTGCTTGGGTACACTGTGGCGAGACTGAGAGTCCTTTTTTATAAAGCAAAAAAGATTCAGAGAATCCAAAAATATATCAAACACCTCCAAACCAAAGTGCTGGAAAAGCAATTTTCAAAATGAATGGTTACCTATATTTGGAGACTGTTTGTTCTCTAAAGTAAAGGGGTACATCTGAAGACGTCAGGCATATTTCAGGTAAGAGAAGTGCTTTTTTCTTAGGTGCCACTCCAGAGAGTCAATCCATCAGACACTCACCAGTCATGCTCTTCACCGAACATTGGCTGTTCTTCCTCTTCCTTTTTGGGCCATTGAGCCACCTGAGAAATAACAAAGGGACAAAGAGAGACAAGCAAAGAGGAACAATCAACGCCTGTAAATATACAACACTTATTTCTGTAAAGCTGTATGTATGTAGGTCATAAAGAAAATATATAGCCAGGTATGCCAAACACATCACAGTCTGAGCTGAATCAGACAAATCACATCTGGAGGGGGTTTGGCTCACACTGACATCACATTGCAGGCAGGTGTCTGGTTGTTCAGCCAGACAGATTATGTGCCCTCAATTGTGATTTTTCAAATTGCACATCAAAGAACTGCAGACAAATGCTTTCTCCGCGAATGGAAAATAAGTAGATCTGATACAATAGCACCGTTTCCCTTTATGCCAATAAAAGCAATCAGCAATGTGGCCACATCGTGAGGGGAAGCCAGCAGATATATTATGTTCCATCCAGTGGTCACTGATTATAAATACAGGTAAGTTCTGTTATATGTCTTTAGATGACAGATGGTAGCTTTGAGCTTGCATTTTGGCAAACACATGGTCAGCACTTCTGTTTATAGAGATTCGTCAGCTTCAAAATCAAGCTAATGAGAATCAATACCAGATGGAAATATCATTTTCCAAGTAATCCAAGTCTCCACGTTAATATCAGGTATAAATGGGCTCCAGGACAGATCTATAAACAACAGATCGAGTGACTAAGAAATAATGTAATCTGTATAATTCATGCTAAACCATATATGGAAAGTAAACTGGCTTCTCTATTTGTGTAAACCTTCTCCCTATATCCATTTACCAGCCAAGCATCTGGTACTCAAATCACGTAGAGATATAGGAGCATGATTTGCCACCATAAATTTTAATTTTCAGTTGTAACTGAGCTCTCTAGACCAAAAGTTAAGTCATAAAGTTTATGTCAAAGAAAAAGGCAGCTTTACTTGCAGCAAATTGATGCATTTTGGCAGTAAAAGCTGAAAGTGCTCCCAAACTGAATCCAAGTAGCAGGAAAAAGACTTTGCGGGGAATACTAGTAAGGTCCCCAAAACCACGCCAATTACGAGAGCGCTCATGGGGAAACCCCACAATAGCAGCCGAAAGACAAGAACTGCAAAGAGTGTAGGTGTCAACCATGCAGCCAAAAGCAACACGCATTCACAGCAAGGATGTGCACACACACCTGAAGCCACGCTGACACATGTGGAAGGCATGTAAAGCGCAGATGGGAGCTGGCTGCTTGCAGGGGAGTTATGAAAGCAGAGAGAGGTGAGGTAAGGGGGGTTATGAAAAGCGAGTACAGTATGGGCCGGAGTCAGCGAGTGCTCCCTGCAAGTCTGGGATGTGTTTAGAATCCCAAGAGTCCAGCTCTTTGCTCTCTAACAGCCTCCGGCTCTCCTCCCACACCAGGACCCTTTAACGCCAGCTCCAGGAGAGGGAGCAGGACTCCATTACAACCATAAATAAACTGAGCTCCAACTCTGCTGGACTCTAGGTCACAACACACAAGCCTCTGAGTTAAATTTGCTCTGTGACAGAGATGTAGAAGAGTGTACTCTTTATTAATGGGTGAAAGGATCCTTCCTCTGCTGCTACATTTTAATCTTATGAAAGGAGTTTTTAATGAGAGAGTCGCTGCCTTTCTAATGACATAACCGGGTTCAAATGGCGGTCACGGCAAGCCGTCCCTGATTAGCTACTGCAATAAGACATCCAAAGACAGGCATCTAGAGAGATGGATAATTTAATAATTTAAATACTCTTAACTTAAGCATATGAGTGGATTTGAATAGTAAACTTAAAATGGGACTGAACTTCCTATCTCAAGTTGACAAATCATCCCTTTATTAAGTAAAGTTCATGCAAGCTGTTGCCCTGTTAGCCATCAACAACAAATATATAAAAGGTAGGTTAGTCTCCTCCAGACTGTACATGAATAAAGGAGCGTTAGCCACTGTGAAGTCAGCCATTGTTTGCATACTTGAATTCAGAAGTCTCAACTTTAGCTTATTGCTGTTGCCATCTTGGTCTCTAAAGCCATAATTGGACAATAGTGTAAGCTCCAACTTACCTAATACTAGCAGTGAATTCACATTTTTACACCCAGCACACTTTCAAGAACGCGAGAAAATAAGTGTCATCTTAATCAAAAAAATCACAACACGCTTTTCTATTTTCTAGCCTTTTTGTAAAACAGTAAATCTGAAAACTCACGAATAGCAACAATATTTGTGAACTGTTGCATGAAATAAATCCAAAAAAGCATCAACACGGACAGTTCAGTGGCTTGATGAGCTTTAAAATCTAGCTGATGCATTTAATAAAGAATAGCTTTAAGCTTGATATAATTTGAACAAATGACTTGCAAAAATATTCAACCGCCATCCAGACTCCATGAACTGTATGGAGGAAGTTAGCGTTTTAACATGAGAGCGTGGCTTCTGGAGCCTTCTTGCTTTATGAAGCGATAAACTCTCTTCACCTAAATGAACAGAAAACAGAGGTGATTGTGTTTGGTCCCTGTGACCACTGCGACTTTGGCCCCTTAGAAATGTTTATAAAAAAAAAAAAAAAACCTTCGCGAGGAACCTAGGAGTGATTTTTGACTCCAATGTAACGTTTGATAAACAGATCAATGCTGTAATCAAGTTTTTTTCATCTTCGGCTACTTGCTAAAGTGAAGCCTTTTCTCTTTTTTAGAGACTTTGAGAGAGCTATCCATGCCTTCATTTCATCTCACTTCGACTATTGTAATAGTCTTTAACCTGTCATCAGTTAGCCATCTCCAGCTGGTCCAAAACACTGCAGCACGGTTACTAAGTGGCACACGCAAGCGAGAACACATATCTCCCATACTGGCATCATTACACTGTCTGCCAGTTAGTTTTCAAATTAATTTCAAGATTTTATTATTTGTTTTTAAGGCGTTGCATGGGTTAGCACCCTCATTCCTTTCCGACCTTTTAAATTGGTACAATCCTGCAAAATCACTGAGGTCTGCAGTTTAATTGCTGCTGGATGTCCCGAGGTCCAGATTAAAGTACAGAGGAGATCGGGACTTTGGTGCAACTGCTCCTAAATTGTGGAACAAATTGCCCCCTCACATCAGGACCTCCCCAACACTGGACACTTTCAAAACCCGTCTGAAAACCCACTTTTACTCCCTGGCTTTTAAATCAGAATGAGTTTGTATTACTTTTATTGATCTTATGTTTTACTCAAATCTTCTAATTTGATGATTGTTTTTCTTAACTTTTATCATGTCTCCCTATGTTTTTATCTCTTTTGATTATCTTAATTGTACAGCACCTTGGCCAACAGTTGTTGCTTTAAATGTGCCATATAAATAAGTTTGACTTTGACTTTGATAAAGCGCTATACTGCCATGATTGCAGCTCTCAGTATGTCTTGTTGACACAAAGACAAAACAAAAAAGTTCTACACTAAATGAGCTCCAGTCATGTTACTCATTGCTTAATGTTTCTGTGGCTATATAGCACATTTTTCTTCTCTGCTCTCTTGGTCGAAAAAACACACGTCTGATAAACAACATGTTTTATGTTACTGGTTCTAAATGAGACACAGGCTTTTCTTTTCTCCTGTAAGAGAGCATGTTTTTATGTTTCACACCAGCAAACATTGTCTCCAACTGGGAAACATAACAATATAATTACCTGTCAGGCTCACGAGTTGCTATAATTGTGCATGAATGCCGGCTCAAACTACCCTTCATATTTTAAACTGGTTTTAATTATAGCAGTGTCTTGTTCTCAGCTATGGTTCCCTTTTGCACTTTTCAGAATACAAATGTGTATTATACTGTGCTCTTGAACAGCCTGTTGAATTAAGGCTTGATTTATCATGACTGTTGGGTATCTTCTTTAGTGGATTTCAGTGGTCAAAAGCACGGTATAATGTTACTGGCACTGACAACCGTCTCCATTTCTAGCAGTCATGCTGCTCACCTGTGAAGCAGCACTTCTACATACAACAACAAATTGATGCAATATGCATATTTTACAAAGTAATACCTAAAGAAATCTGAGAGCCTTTGAACACGGCTGTTGTTTTTCATTCACTTTGTGGGCAAACATGTCAGTTAAAGTGCCAGTAGGATGCGAAAAAAAAAGAATTAAAGCTGTCACAGCAGCAGAAAGATGCGATGGGGTTTTCACTCAATGCCACTCAAAGGTAAATATCTCTCCCTCTGCCAACTGGCTCCAACATCACTCCACGGAGCTGCTGGAGGCGACAACCATCAGACTGTCAGCTATGTGACAGCTCAGTCTTCCAGTGCAGCAGCATGTTGGTGCAGATGGGAACATCAGCAAACGGGATGACATCAGATACTCATTAATCAGGTCTCTGTCACCCCTACAAGGACTATACTTCTATACTACACTAAACACTATCCTATACCTCTGCATTTCTGTACAGAGAGTTTGCACAAACCCTAAGGTGCCGCAACACAAGCTCGACAACGTGAGCTCTGATGAATGATGCAACAAATGGCAGAGTAATGACTAGTGATTCACTGAAAATTATAACAAAATAATAACAAAAATACAGTAACAACGGCTCTTTCTGACCAATTTTAACTAGTGACAGGATAAAAGGAAATACTTTTCCCTAGCAACCGGTGGTTGCCAGGTGGTTGCTAACTGGTCTCTAGGCCTTTGTGACCAGAGCAGCCAGCTAGCCTTAGCTAGCTAACGTGGACCACTTGAAAAACAGCGAGAAGATGAGGATCAACAGCAGCCGCAAGTGCAGGGAAACAAACTTTGTATTAAATCAAAATAAGAATTACGTAACCAACAGAGTGAGTTTCTACAAATATGCAAGAGAAGTTTTTAGCCACAGTAAAAAGCATGCTATTAGCATCAGCTAAAGCCATGATAAAATAGGCTATAACCCACTTTAACTTCAAATGTAGTCATGATGTCACATCCACATTGTTGCACCACAACTTAGAACTTATTACCAGATGGCAATGCCTAAAATCAAGGCTTTAATATGGGAATCCAGAAGCTAATGAGT